CAAAAAAATGGCTGGAAGAAATTTGGAACGGACGACCAGGAGCAACCTTAAAGAAAAAACCATCATTGCTAGTTTGGGATATGTTCAGAGCCCACACATCTGATGACATAAAAAAATTGGCAAAGTCTTCTCAAGTTACTTTGGCAGTTATTCCAGGTGGGCTTACATCTGTATTGCAGCCCCTAGATGTGTGTTTAAAAAAACCTTTCAAAGACCGTGTGCGAAAGATGTGGCATGAATGGATGTCATCTGGTCAAGCTCGACTGACAAAAGTTGGAAATCTGAGGAAGCCAGACATAGAATTGATAGCACAGTGGGTTCGTGATGCATGGGAAGAGATTCCAGAGGACCTGGTGCAACGCGCCTTCAAGAAATGTGGCATTAGTAATGCTATGGATGGCAGTGAAGACAGCGCTTTGTATGAGAACGACAGCAGTGATGGTGATGACTGTGAACTCAGTGATGATGACAATGTCTATGCTGATAACCTCACACCAGCTGAAGCTCTGTTTGGACATACAGATGATGATGATGATAACTCCAGTTTTGAAGGATTTTAGCTCTTGTGTGTTAGCTTGATTGCTGATTGAGCTAAGGTGGTTGTACTTTTAAAGTTACGGTATTTTTGATACCATATTGTTTTTGTTGACCCCCTTTTCCACTTACAGAGCTAGGTTATTGTTTTTCTTTGAAATAAATATTCATGTAATTTTATTGGTATCTATCTTCATTTTTTACATTTAGCAGTAGCTGCCTCATTTCCCACTCTAGGCTTATACTCGAGTCAATATTTTTTCCCAGTTCTTTGTGGTAAAATTAGGTGCCTCGGCTTATATTCGGGTCGGCTTGTACTCGAGTATATATGGGTAGTTTTTTACTCCAAAAGCACTTTATTAAAATAAATTTGATAAAAAAATTTAAAAAATCCGATTTACATTAAAAAAATCCAATTTCTTTATTATCCACTCGGTCTTGTCCACATTTCCAATATAAGTTTGAGGTACATTTATACACTTTTCAATATTTTTCTGTTGATTTTCATATTCTTCAGCCTATTTAGAGGTTTTAGCAATTGCATATTCATCTATTCTACACAAGTGAGTCAAATTCTTCTTTATGTTGTTGAATATTCTAGTTCCCTTTATCAAGCTCAAGTTCTAATGGTTCTCGACATTTTATCCATTGTCTTTCCTTGCTGCCTTTTTTCTGCTGAGAGCCATTAGAATTATTTGAGGCACAGCCTGAGTTTATATCTTTATCATATTCTCAACGTGGCATTTCTAACATTATGGTTTTAAAATTTAGATTGATCCGAAATTTATCTTCCCACAAATATCCATCACCTCCAAACCACTGTCATGCCTTTCTAGTTCTAAATTTCTCTTATTTCTGATCAACTTCCATTTCTTATTCCAACCGCACAGCAGACTACAAAGTCCAATTTCAACCACATCTTCCCGTTTCCTTGGAAACTTGAAGAATATGATATTTAATCCATGGTTTTCCCTTGCCATACAAACCTAGATTTATCTTCCAAAATTTGAATCAAGAAAGTCCACCTCAAATTCTTGAATGCCTTCTCTGCATCTTAGAAAATAGAAGAAGTTTGTTTTTCATTATATTCATACTTACTACGTTTTCCTGTTTTTCCTAAAGTTATTTTCATTTTTCTTTCTTGTGAAGGTAACAATGTGGAGGAATATGAAGATTCCTGGGAACTATTCCAAATGATCACTCGTGGATACAATACGAAGAACCCTACAATTCAAATGGAAGAAGAAAGCCATGAGAAAAACCAGTCAAATTGCAATCAGGAAAGTTCATCTTCTGTTCATGCACCAATGAAAGGCTCTGTGGCCCAGCAAGGAAAAATAGAAAACAAATATATTGGAAAATGTATAAAACTATTCATAAAGAAATTAGATGTAAATAAACATGATCAAATCCAAATCAAAGGAGAAGATTATGTATGTAGAGACAATGGAAAAAATTACAAACGGACCTTGTCTCTTCCTCATAAAAATGGCTTCCGTACATCTCAAAAAAGGACCCATGCAGGAGACAAGCCACATAAATGCATGGAGTGTGGAAAGAACTTTATTAAGAACAGTCAACTTATTTACCATAAAAGGATCCACAAAGCAGAGAAAACTTATAAATGCATGGAGTGTGGGAAAAGCTTTAGTAAGAACAGTCAACTTACATGTCACAAAAAGATCCACATAGGAGAAAAGCCCTATAAATGTACGGAATGTAGAAAGAGCTTCAGCGAAAAGAGAAATCTTACTCTCCATAAAATGATCCACACAGGGGAAAGACCTTATAAATGCATGGAGTGTGGAAAGACCTTTATTCGTAGAAGTCATCTTAGTTCACATACAAGGATCCACACAGGAGAGAAGCCCTATAAATGCATGGACTGTGGAAAGAGCTTTACTTCTTGTAGCTCCCTTACTTTGCATTACCGGAGCCATACAGGGAAGAAGCCATATAAATGCATGGAATGTGGAAAGACCTTTACTCAGAGCAGCAGTCTTACTTCCCATAATAGGATCCATACAGGAGAGAAGCCCTATAAATGCATGGAATGTGGAAAAACCTTTACTCAGAGCAGCAGTCTTACTTCCCATCAAAGGATCCACACAGGAGAGAAGCCCTTTAAATGCATGGAATGTGGAAAGACCTTTACTCACAGCACCAGATTTACTTCCCATCAAAGGATCCACACAGGAGAGAAGCCCTTTAAATGCATGGAATGTGGAAAGAACTTTACTGCAGACTGTCAACTTAGAAGTCATAAGAAGATTCACACAGAAGAGAAGCCCTATGAATGTATGGCGTGTGGAAAGAGATTCAGTGAACAGAGAAGACTTACTTTACATAAAATGATCCACACAGGGGAAAGGCCGTATAAATGCGTGGAGTGCGGAAAGACTTTTATTCAGAGAACTAGTCTTAATTTACATAAAAGGATCCACACAGGAGAGAAGCTCTATAAATGCACAGAGTGTGGAAAGACCTTTATTTGTAGAAGTCATCTTAGTTCACATACAAGGACCCACACAGGAGAGAAGCCCTATAAATGCATGGAGTGTGGAAAGAGCTTTACTTCTGGTAGTTCCCTTACTTTGCATTACCGGATCCATACAGGGGAGAAGCCATATAAATGCATGGAATGTGGAAAGACCTTTACTCAGAGCAGCAGTCTTACTTCCCATCAAAGGACCCACAAGCGGGAGATGTATAAATGCAAGGACGATGGAAAGAACTTTACTACAGACTGTCAACTTACAAGTCATAAGAAGAACTACACAAAAGAGAAGCCCTATGAATGTATGGCGTGTGGAAAGAGATTCAGTGAACAGAGAAGACTTACTTTCCATAAAATGGTCCACACAGGAGAAAGGCCTTATAAATGCGCGGAGTGTGGAAAGACTTATATTCAGAGAACTCATCTTAATTTACATAAAAGGATCCACACAGGAGAGAACCTCTATAAATGCAAGGAGTGTGGAAAGAGCTTTTTATATAGTAATGCTCTTACTTCCCATTACAGGATCCATACAGGGGAGAAGCCATTTAAGTGCACAGAGTGTGGAAAGAGCTTCTATGAAAATTCTTCTCTTACTGTTCATAAACGAATCCACACAGGAGAGAAGCCCTATAAATGCATGGAATGTGGAAAGAGCTTCCCTAGCAGCAGTGAACTTGTTTTCCATAGAAAGAGCCACACAGGGGAAAAACCATATACATGCCTGGAGTGTGGAAAGAGCTTTATTAAGAACTCCCAACTTATTTACCATAGTAGGATACATACAGGGGAGAAGCCTTATAAATGCATGGAATGTGGAAAATGCTTTTCTCTCTCTGGTAACCTTAACTACCATAAAATGATCCACACAGGGGAGAAGCCTTATAAATGTATGGTGTGCGGAAAAGGTTTTATGAGGAAGAGTTATCTTAACTCCCATGAAAAGACCCACACAGTGTAGAAGCCCTATAAGTCTGTGAAATAAGGAAAAAGCTTGAAGAGGACCAGTGGCCAAATGTTCCATATACATCTGTTTAAATGTTATGTTAATTGTTGAAATATATGCATTTTCTAACTGCATTTACTGAATTAGGAAAGGGTTTTTTTGAGTCTGACCTTCACAACTGGAAGCCCCAGAGACATGAATTTAGTAATAGAAACCAAATGCTAGGCATGTGGTGTTTTAATTATGAACAGTGGATTTTTGTAAGTACTGTCATTTAAAGGTCACCAATGCCAATACACATGAATAAGAACATATTTTCTTCATGTTCATTCCATTTTTGATTGGATCCTAATAAAGAAAGCCCAAATCCCCACTAAAACTTTAATTTTTGACAGGACGCATAGGGCTTTATTGGCAAAATGTCATTCCAGGCATACTATGGAAAAGGCATAAATCAGGAAAAACTTGCAGAATTTTTAGCTAAATATAAATGACCAAATTAAGTGTAATGCTAATGAAGATACCTTATGAGTAGAATAGTTTAAATAGCAATTGTTTTGCAGTTAAGCTTTGTATAGCTGTCAATAGAAGTTACAGTATATAATGAATCACAGGATGTTGAAACTGGAAACATCTTGGGATATTGTGCTAAATTAAAAGAATGTTCAAAAAGGAAATATTTGCTGACTGTAACATCAGATCCTCTAAATTATACTTAATACTACAAAAACTTCACTGGATTTACAGTCTCTACCTTGGTTATTCAATTTGGGCAAGGGGCTCACTTGAGAATGTATCCCAGTATTGAGCTGAAAAATGATTGCTTTAAGAGGGATGTAATCAGGTCGACATTTAATAGGTGTTGCTTCTGCAAGAAGCAGAAGGAGCTGCATCTCCCCGAGGCATCTCTTCAAGACAAAACTTTTTAAATCTTTCTTCCTCTATAGCAGAAATGAGAATAGGAACTTCCTGTGGAGTGTGAGGAGGAATAGGAAAAAATAATCCAGCTCTTAGTCCACTGAAACACTGAGACCTAGGTCAGCCAGTACAAATGCAGAAGTAGGGAACTTTTTCGGTCAAAGGCCTCTCATGATGTTAAAGAATAATCACATAAATATTAATTTGAGTGTGAAGAAAGTTTCAGGATGAAGATTTCCTCTCACAGAAAATGGAGCCAGAATAACGAGAAGCCTCTGAAATGCATGTGCAAAAGACTTTCCTAGCATTAGACCATATTTTACCTTAGATAGATCAAATAAGATAGAAATAGTTGCTAACCTGTGGTAATAGGAAGAGAGTAAAATAAGCAAGGTAAAGTTAGATTCAGTTTACAAGTAAGGAGTGGGAGTTATAAGTTCCTCTAATAAAAGTTCCGCTTACTATACCATAATAAGAAAAGCCCTAAGAATTGCTAATAGGCAAAGTTTGGGGGGAGGATTTGGGTGAGGGAGAAACTTCTGAAATTCAGAGGCTCCTGCTGGTTGCACCTCTATATTCAAACAGTACAGCTGGACGATTCTCTCAAAATGGAGTAAAGGCACCAATTCCAGTTTTCTGCTCGTTATTGTCAAATGTTTCATTAGAGAAATGGAAATCAGAGTGACAGAAAATTAGACAATTGTATTTTTCTTTGTACTCATGATTTACAAGTTGCCTTAAACTCTACAAAGGTCTGAAGTTTCCTAATAATATTTTCTGAGAGTGTTTGCTATTCAATTGCCAAATAAAAATCACTTCTTTTTCTCCTGCTGTGGTGTTTTAATATTATATTCCCTCTTCCATAGTTGCTTTCCATCCTTTTACAGTTCCACAAGACGCCATTTCCCCACTCTTTATTTCTCCTCCAAGGAGCTTCGTTGTGAGGTAAAATTTCTGGAACATCCACCACGTTCAGCATTTCTCCCCAGTATGGGGTGGCTTTTTCCTTCCCTTCAGCATCCTTTCTTTGGACACAAGCAGTTGCTCAGCCTTCCAGGTGATCCTGAGGCACCCGGAGCCCATAATTAGACAAGGGAAGCTGCAGACATAAAACCAGAGAACCAGAAACAGGAGAAATTTCCATTTTCCCGGTTGGGGCTTCCCTAGCAATCTTCTTCCCCTTCAGGCCGGAGTTCGCCACAACAGCAAGACACAAGTTGTGTTTCCCAGAGAGGTTCCTGGTCCTCATCTTCTGACCGCCTGGCCATTTCTGACAGGATTTGGGCCTTTTTGAGGTTTTTCTGATCGCTGCAGAGCCTTCAGAGCAGTTGTTCTTGAGGTTAAGTGAGTTCAAATCCTCCAGGGAGATTTCTCTCCATTTCAACAGATGCTTCCTGGAGAGGAAGATAGACAAGCTGCCAGCTCTGTAAACGCCGACGCCTTTCTAGGGCAGGGAACCTTTCCTTCTACTACCATACAACCCATCATCCCTGCCCTCCCCCTTCCCTCAGGCCAGTGGTTCTCAACCTGTGGGTCGGGACCCCATTTGGGGTCGATCAACCATTTCACGGGGGTCGCCAAGCAAGGCTGGACACCATTTTTTTTGTCCGCCATTTTTTTGTCCACCATTTTTCCCCCTTTTCCGGCGGGTGCCTTACCTCCCTTGGGCTGGGCCAGCTGGTGGTCGTCTCTGCCGCTTGCCAGCTACGCCTCGGCCGGCACAGGGGGCGGAACCACGCATGCGCGGCGCTCCCGAGCAGGGAAAGTCCTCGACTTACGACCAGTTGGGTAGTCCTTGACTTACGACCGGTTTAGTCCTCGACTTACGACCGGTTTAGTCCTCGACCTACGACCGGTTTAGTCCTCGACTTACGACCGGTTGGGGTCGCGGCATTAAAAAGGTTGAGAACCACTGCCTCAGGCGGTCTCCTCTTTCCCGCCCTTTCGGGTAATTGTGTTAGTTCGCACAGAATCCAACAGGGGGTACTCTCAGCTTCAGGAAGTAACTGAGCATGCGCGGAGCTCTTCACTGGAACCAGGCACCCGGAGGGGTCAGTAGCAAGAGGCTGCTTTTTCTGTTCACCCCCTCCCTCCGCTGTGAGGTGGGGGCGGGGCCTTTGCGGAAGGCGCAGAGATTGCCGGGAATCCTTGCGGGTACCCGGATAACGACGGGAGTCCCTAGTTCCGTGAGTGGCGGCTCTGCCCATGCAAAGGGGTCCGCGCTGGAGGCGAGTGTGGAGACGGGTCATGTCTTCCCCCGGGGTGGGAGTCGCGGCCCCATGTTCCCTTGCCGCCCTTTCCCATGCACGGGCCCGGCAAGGGACCGGGGGGAGCAAAGGAGAGAAAGGGGGATCTTCCGAAGGGAGGGGCCGTTTCCCCCCATTTCCTAGGTGAGCCTCTGCAGGGGGGGAGGGGGAGACTGGCCAGATGTCCCCCTGCCGGGTGTGGGTGCAAGTCCGGGGCCCCGGGTGGGAGGACAGGGACTGGGGTGCTGCTTCCCTGCCTTCTCCCCCCCCCCCCGACCTCAAAGTGCCTCTGCCGGCAGACAAAGGAGGGAGAGGCTGCTGGGAGGCAGGCGCAAGTGGAGCTGAGACGCAGCATTCGCACCCAGTACCCAGTTGCGCCGATGTTTCCCAACCCTCTTTCAAGCCTGGGAGTTGAAGTCCATATTTGTCTTCATTTGTCCGTGTTTGGAAAAGCGTGGATGAGGCTAAGAAGTGGGGAACGTGTTTGTCGGAGTTGCATGAATCAGAAGTTCATCTTAGGCTCTCAATGGTTCATTCATTCTGGTGTTCGTCCTCTGTGTATCGGATGGTGGCTTTTTAATTTAGGCTTCTGAAGTTCCCAAAGGGGTTTGGGTCAGAATGATTAATGGAGTCCTGCTGTTTAAAGTTTTACTGTAAGTTCAAATGTTGATTTATTTTCTCATGAATTCGATTTATATAGATCTCAATTGCTGTGTTCTGACCTGACACATTTATTGTTTATAAGATTGTTCTTAACTCTCTCTCTTGAAATTATTAGAATAAACTGGGAAATAGAAATCCAAAACATATTTTAAATGTATTTGTCCAGTATTCTGAGTCTTTGATAGAAGTTGATCAAGAAGGATTTGTCAGAATATGTCCCACCTGCAGAGAAGTTAAAGTACCTAATAGGATTCCCCACTTTCTTCCCTGACATTAGTGGATATATAAGATTTTCTTGTTATTTTTTCTTTAGGGAAGGATTTTCGCTAGTTGAATTAGACATCCTGATTTTCTGGTACCTTCTTTGGTTTTCCATTTTGGATTTGTAAGCTGCAAATCTTTCCTGCTTCTTCTGGAGAAAAAGAATAAACTACGATTAGATCCTCCAGGGTTAAGAGGATGGGTAAACAACATTTTAAGGTGTGTTTCATGTGAACTTTGCCTTTATTGTTGGTTAACCAGTTTGGGGTCAGGGCAAATTGTGTGAAGCAGCCTTCGTGTTATAGTATGACTTTGTTCCCAAAAAGCAAGCACTGAAAAACAGGAATTGAGCATCCTAAGCCAAAGTAATTTCCTTGGGATTTCATTTGGTGTGAACTAAATCTTCATGGCATCGTTAGAATGTTGTTCCTTCCCAGGATCATTTCACTCAGTATTATTCCATGTTAGGGGTCCTCTTGCTTTTCCTCACTAAGACACCTGACAAAAGGTAAACTTTTCTTTCTTGGGATGAGCCATTTTTGGAACTTTCTCCTTCTCTCTTCTCTATGGCTCCAGTTATTTACAACCATACAAAGTTAAAAACAAGAGTGTGGAACATCCTTAATGAATGTCTAATGACTAAATAACATGAAGCACAAGGAACAGGTGATAACGTTTTGTATTCTATTCCAGTTTCTTAAGCTCTGGACTTCTGGCATCTTTATGAACCCTAAGTGTAGGGTATAGTGAGAGAAAAATGTATTTATCCCGTGCTGATTTTGTATATTTGCCCACTGACAAAGAAATGATCAGTCTATAATTTTAATAGTACATTTATTTTAACAGTGAGAGACAGAATAACAACAAAAAATCGAGAAAAATGCATTTCAAAAAAGTTATACATTGATTTGCATTTTAATGAG